TTAAAATAAAGTCATCAAGCATTATGATTACTAGAAGGAATGGTATGTTTCCAATATTTACTATAATCCATGGAAATCTAACAAATGCCTTATCTTTCTTTTACTTGCCAATTTGATTTATTACGTCAAAAATAATCCAAACAAAAAAAGCCGCTTTGTTCTTGTACATGGTCTCTCTATTTCTGTTATTGCTATTATTGTTGATGACGTGACAACTAACACAAATGTAGCTATCAGTAATAGAACAAATTGATTAAAAATATATCTCTAAAAAAATAAATAAATAGACTATATACTAGTAGGATATTTTATGAATCAATCAAACTTGTAATTTTATCTGTGAAAGTGGACTTTAACAATATTTCCTATATGTATTTGAATAGGTATCAAATTTAGTGATCATTTATCGGAGAATAAGATCTTTGATATACTAAACAACAAACAGTACAACAACCATATTTATTAAAAACATTCATTTATATCAATTAGTTCAAGTCATTAAGCTGAAATAATAAGTTTTATTATTTAATCAAAAGACGATTTTGTTCAGTAAACACAATAACAAAAATAAGTCCTTGTGTATTAAATAAGATTTACCACAACCCTAAAGCTCTGTAGAGCACAAGATATCAACATATGTTATGTTTTAGTAATGCATCAAAGATCATCAGAATGATTCATATAGACTTAATTGCTAATGATAATATTGATGCCATTGTCGTAGGACTCTTTATTTCCAAAGTATCGACTTGTTTCTTCATTTTAGTCTAAAATTTTTCATCACATAATAATGGTTTCTCGAAATAATTGCAATCATATTATTCCAGATTGCTAACGAGGGCACATATCCAACTGTCGGCGGACGTCATTCGAGCCCATGGCGTGCATAGACGGAAATCTAGTTGCCACATACGTATAAGAAAATCGTTTTTTTTTCTCTTTTTATTCCAAAAACTTGAGATATAAAACGTTCATGTAAGTCTTGCTGCAAGAAGGAAAAAATAAGAATATATTTTTCTTTTGACTTGAGAATCACGGGAGCGTCTCATTGTAGTGTATACTGTACGAACTGACTTAACCATTTTTTCATATTCTGTATCTCTGTCTCCATTCTAAGTACAACTAGGCTCATCACAAACCGTATATCAATAACGTCTTGTCATAATATACGAGTTACCTCTTTATTGCATTTCTGGAAAATCAAGTAAATGGCTAGTGAAGAAATGTATCTCAAAATTGATAGAATAAAAAGCAATCTCTCTATGATTAACAACAACAGCTGCATCATCTTTCACATTTTAATCACACATAGATTACACTAACAACTTTTGTTTGAAAGAGCATATCAGACTGGGGTGTTCTTTTTTTTATATGTTTACTGTTTACGCGGAGAAAAAAGATCAAAAATATCAATAGTTCGAACAATTCTTAAAAAATCGTCATCAATTTTTAGAAGTGCTTTTTTTTTATATAATAATAAAAAAGTTCTACCAGGAACTGCAGCTTCTTGCAATCTTTCGCGCGAATTCTGTGATGCGTGCAATCCAATTAGCATACTGTTCATGAAAACCGAATTGATGTTTTTTCAAAGGGGAAACCGAGAGGTTAGTCTGTTCATATTATTCAAACCAAAATTTGAGCCTTAGGATCAAATATGAACAAAAATGAATTTCGAACAATTTTGTTTCAATTATCAATATCTATTAACTCCTACTGTGCATATATAAATTTCCTTTTCTCTTATGTCATTAACTCGTGCGCATATAATGAGCAGAAGGTGATGTTATTCGATCTACTCATTAATTATAACTGTTGGACATTGACGTAAGAAAAGAGAACGGTTGGTGTGAAGACGAAGAAGAAGAAAAAAAATTGAATTACATAAAAAAAGAACGAATAGTCACAAATTTGCTAATTACAATACAATTGACAGTAGAAAGGAAACAAACGTATTCATTGTTCGCTTGGACGCGTATTGCATGTTTTAACTTCTAAGTCAATGTCGGTATTGTGTTTATCATAAATCACACATTGATTTTATACATATATATAAATCATGTTCAATTGTTTGAATAACATACAGTTATGCATAGATTTTATTTTTTGTTCATCTTGTTATTCAGGTATGAGAAAAAAATTGTTTTTGTTTTAAGTTGAAGTAAAATGGAAATATTATTTTAGATCCATAGGAGCTTTTTATCTTCAAGAAGATTCTGAAGGTAAATATGATTATTTATTATTTAATGATTCTATATGTATTTATAGATTATGTTACTGAGCAAGAACCATGTAATGCTGGATGTAAGAATGGTGGTCAATGCTTTCTTTCATCATTTTGTATATGCCCAAAGTATATTATAAAAGAAAAAATCATATCTATTTTATATATTAGAATGTTCTTTTTATTGTTAAGAGGATTTTCTGGAAGATATTGTGAAGTATCTCTGAATGAACAGTGTGGTACATTTCCATCAATGACAACAATGGAAATTGATTGTATTCTATGTATTTGTTATAATGGTTTATTTATATGTGATATTCAACCAATTGGTCTTTGTCGTAGGTTTTATTTTATTATATGTTTGTTTATATATTTAATTTATTATTTTTCTAGATCGTAAATTAGATTTATTTTTAACTCGTACAATGCGTATTACTCGTGCACTTGATATTATTCAAAATCGTTTTAAAAATATAAAATCATTTGAACCAATGACGAAATTTAATGTAACATTAGATGATGATATACAGCTTGTTAATTTAAACGGCTATCGAATTGTATTGAATCATTCATCTTCGTCTATGCTATCATCTTGTTTTCTCATGTTACTTAGTTTATTATCTATTTATTGGTTGAAATAATTTTTTCTTTTTCTAATTTCGATATCTGAGATTTTTAGAAAGAAATTAAATAAATACATTTGAATTGTTATCATAAATTGACGGTCTATTTTGAAATCGATAGGTATTGGTTATCTTTCGAAGAAATGGATTGTAGATCTTAGAATGATTGTTTCTACATATTAAAAATATTTTTTCGTTCAACTCAAGAAGAGAACCTGTATTTAATTTATAAGATGTTAGATGTTTTAAACTATTTCAGGAACATACAATGAATAAATGATCTTTGTGATAAGAATACATAAGTGTCTAGACGACATCAAAAAAGTCATTGAGCAATTTAAAATGATCATGTAATGAGAAGAAATATGTTTGAAGAAGCAATAAAAAGATTGCTTCTGTGTTCAAATCTTGCTTCTCCTTTGCCATCGTTATTCTACCCTTATCTCTTTTATTTCTATTGCAATAACTTCCGGATGCAATAATAAAAATGTATAGAATTAAAATTTTATGACTCTCATGTACTTACCTTATCCGTTCACCTCAATAACTTCTTTATGATTAACTTAAAAGAACATATTTACCAGTCAGTTAAATCTCAACTAACCATTTGCTTTGTTAATATTTCAAGCATGTTGATCATCTTCTTTTTTTGAAGAATACGAATAAAATCTGTTTTAACTAACCCAATGGGCTGTATTGTCGATAGATCAGTTTTATTTTTGTAATTGTATTATTTTATTTACAAAAATTAACATCTTACTTCGTTGAATGTTCATTAAATAGTGTAAATCATTTACCTTAGGTTTATCAAAATCTTTTTTTGTTCTTTTTATTTGAAGCATGCAAAGAATAAAATTCATCATGAAAAAAAATACAATTGATAAGTATTTTTGTCGAGTACAATGGATTGCATCATTAGGTGAGTCTAAATTACAAAAAAGAAGCTAGTGTCATTGAGAGTTCAATTTATGCAAAGTTTCAAGTCGAAACTTGAAATTCGATTTTCATGATCAATTGAGGGTGAACATATATTTCTAATAAAAAGTCACTACTTACTATAACCTCCTATCTGACTATACTCTCGATCAAAAGCCGATCGGGTACTTGGGAATGCTTCCTCGCTAGTTGAATTTTATTTCGTTTGTATTTTTGTCAACATGACACGAAATTTGTATATGCTTTATTTTGACATTTGATATTTATGGATTACAAAATCATTAGTTTTAAAATTTGACATGATACGGGAGTTTTTGATGCAATAAAAAAAGCCTTATTTTCCATAAGTTCGTATATAACAAAATTTGAGTCTTAACTTATAGCGACAATTCAACTTTCTCATTGGTCTGTATTTGATGCTTTCTGGACATAAATAAAACCATATTACTACTATCTATAAGCTGATTGTTTTTTCTGTTTATTTGCAACAATGCCTGGTGGTTTAAATTCTTCTAAGTTGGCTTTAATAGTCATTGATATGCAAAATGAATTTGCATATGCAGCAAAATCTATTCTTGCTGAAGTGAATGCTACTATAGCTAGTGCACGTCGTGCTGGTATACCAGTTATTTTCACTCAACATGGTCATCCTGATCCTGAAAGTGAAGAAAAAACATCTGTTTTAGTTCATTGGTGGAGTGCATCAGGATCAATAAGAAAAGGTTCTCAGAATTGGAAACTTTTATCTGATCTTGATGTAGCATCAAATGAAGTTATACTTGATGAAAAAATAACTTATGATGCATTTTATCGAACACGATTAAAATCTTTATTAGATGAACAAAATATTGATACAGTAATTATTTCTGGTGTTCTGACTCAAATTTGTTGTGAAACAACAGCACGTTCAGCATTTGTTCAAAATTATGATATTATATTTTTATCTGATGGTACAGGACCACCATGTCAATCAACGCTTGATGTTATATCTTTTGGTTTTGGAAAAGTAATAACATGTGCTCAAATGCGTGCACAACTTGATAAGATACATGAAAAAAAAATTTAAATAATCTTTGATTCTTTTTCTCCGCTTGTTTGTCGTTCTGCATGTTCTCTGTTGGTTGTAAATATGATGAATCGATGCCATGAGAAAGAAAAAAAAAACGTTTCTTCCAGTAGTGTAACCTTTTTATTTGATCGGATTTTGTTTTTTTGAATAAATGACTTCGTACATAAGAAAATACGTTACAGCACTCGCATCAGCTAAAAGTTATGTTGCTCAATGGTCAGCAGATCATGTTTATGCTGATAAAGCACTTATTGTACCGTTTCCAACATTAGCTATATTTGATCCCAAAAAGCAAACGTGGTTAATACATATCAAAGCATGGTTATATTTTCCCTTTGAAGGCAAAAAAATCAAAGGTTATTTATCATCATTACCAAATATTTTAGCTAGTAAAACTGAAGAAAAAACCGATGATTCTACTACTAAAGATAATAAAAAAATGGATAGAGAAAAAAACTTAAATGTTTTTGTTGATACCGAAGAAAATAAAGATATAAAAAAACAAGATAAATCAATCGATGATGAAGATGAAAATGATGATATATATGAAGATGCTTTGCGTAAGTTAAATAAAAATAAATTTAATTTTTAAATAAAAATAAATTTAATTTTGCATATATAAAATGATTTTGGTAAACCAAATGAAAATCCTAGTCGTTTAGGTTTATTTTTTGTTGGAAGATCTGTTGAAGTTATAACTAAATCTATAATTAATGATGTTGAACATTTACTTAAACCATCAGATGAAAGTGGTTTTGTTGAACAAGAACTTGAATTATCTGATGAAGAAATTCAATCACTTGCAAAAAAATTTCATCCAGAATCAAATGATCGAAAATTTGAATATGAAATTCGAATAGATGAATCTAAACACAATATTAAATCAGAAAATGATAAAACATTTAAATGTACTATATATGTTCTTGCATCTTATGGAATTAGTATTATATCAGATATTGATGATACAATAAAAATTTCCAAAGTTCTTAATAAACGATCATTATTAAAACATACATTTTATAGTGATTTTAAACCTGTTGATGATATGAGTGAACTTTATCAAAAATGGAATGAACAAAATTGTCAATTTCATTATGTTAGTGCAAGTCCATGGCAATTGTAAGTTTTAAAATTTTTAAATAAAGAAAAGACAAATGCAAAATAATATTATTTAGATTTCCAGCACTTAGTTGCTTTTTAGAAAAATATAAATATCCAATGGGTACAATAAATTTAAGAAAATTTGAATGGAGTTTACAATTTTTAAATCCAACTGAAAAATATAAAATAGAAATAATTACACAAATAATTAATGCTTATCCTTTAAGAATATATATTTGTGTTGGAGATTCAGGTTTGATTAAAAATATTAAAACAATATTTATCTATGAAATGATTGAATCCTTCTTTTCTGTTTTTCTTTTGTTCAGGAGAATTTGATCCAGAAATTTATTCAGAATTATACAAGAAGTTTCCTCAGAATATTGCTCATATATTTATTCGGGATATATGTCAAACACCTGAATGTTTATCAACGTGTCAAGAACGATATGTAAAAGCATTTAAAGATGTATCAAAACAACGATGGACTGTGTTCAAAGATCCTAAAAAAATCGAAACAAATATTGAAAAAATACTTATATTATAATTTATTCTAATATTATTATTTAATCTTTACACATATCGAATGAAGTATCTTGGTTAGATAGGAAAATATTCTTATAATTTTTTGTTGAATTATCTGTTGACAAACTTTCAACTATAATTCATTGATTTCTATATTCATTAAGATAAGGTATTATGAATCTCATATTATTAATACGTGTTAAGGATAATTGGATTTCATATTTTTATTTTATTGAAAAAAAACAAGTTTCTATTCTTGGCTCAATTCATACCAATAAAAAGTATTTCATTAAAGCAGTTTATTGTTTTTACTAAGTCTTTTAAAATAATCTTTAAAAAAAGCCTCTTGACACATACTTAACCAAGATACTTAATTCCATATTTGATTATGAAACTTAACACATGATAGACGTTTTTTTATGTATGCTTTCAATAAATCTTTTTATTCTATTTAACAGTTATCTTTTGTAACAACAAAAAAAAATAATAACAATAACAGATATATATTGATATATATATATATATATATAGATAAATAAATGTTCATACTATTCATGAAAACGAAAACATTCATTAGCAATAACCCATGTTGATGTTGTAATATCCACAGTTAAGACAAATATATGTGAAAAAAGACGTTTTTCTTTTGTTACTGTTGTACTTTCTGGTGTACCATAGATAACAGCACCACTAACAAATACCTGATAAGACGTATCTTCATCAGGAAAGAGATCTATGAAAAAAAAACACAAATTTTCAACCGACATAAACAGAGAAATAAAAAGTTCTTTTTTTACCTTTCATAGGAAAATAATCTAATGCATAAATATGATGTTTTGTTGGTGGTAGTGAAACTAAATGATTTGCAATTGCTGTTTGACCATTAATTTCATTTCCATTCCAAATTAATTTCGCATGTGCTTGATAAAATTTATCTACATTCTAAATAATCTATTTATCGTTTCATTTGTTTTATCACAAAATCTTACATGTCTTCGTGTATCTAATATATCATAGTATTTTTTAGAAAAATTTTCTACAGCATTTGCATCTTCACGATATTTTCTTTGCTAAATAAAACTAAATAATTGACGATCTTTTTTTTTATGGTTTTACAAATTTTTATCACACCTGGTCAGTATTTGTAGCCATAGGAAAAATAAAAGATTTTATCTGAAATATGAACTATGTTTTTTTTTTATTTATAAATCAGTCACAATGATTAGTGTATATATATATAGTCAAGTAACTATAAAAAGAAAAAAAAATTGAATAGTTTTTTTTTTAAATTTTATTAACGCCGATGATCACGATCACCATTTTCATGACGATGGCTTCGTTTCGAACTAAAAACAAAACAAAAAGGAAATAATTTTCTAACAAAAAAATAATTTATCGTACCGTGATGTTGATCGAGATCGTGATCTAAGTAAAAGAAATTATTAGAAAGAAAGAAAAACAAAAAAATTTCAACTAACCGTCGATAACTACCACTGCGTGATCGATGTTTTGAACGTCGACGAGATCTTGATCGTGAACGTGTTCTAAGAAAGAATTGAAATATTTCGTTTAATTATTCATTCAGTTAAAAGTTTTTTCGGTTTTTTTATCCAATGCAGGTTTGTCAATTCTTGTAAAAGCCTTATCGACGACACATATATATATAGATATCTTACATCTGATCTGTTAAACCGCCTGGAATCTCGCTCTGTTTAGTCAAATGCAGCAACCACCGGGATAAACCATTATCTTATTTTATTCTCGAACAAAATACAGGAAACAGCATATTTGCGCAGGAGAATACCTGTGTGAATAGAGATAATCAATTTTTTCGTGGGATGGGAATAGGGGGAAACTCGTATATAGATATATATATGTAACAATGTAAATAGTGTTTTTTTTCTCTTCTATTTATCTTCCTACCGGCGACGACGTGTTTTATCACGACTATCTGTTGTTGATGCACGGCCATAGCGAGCAAATTGAACACGTATTTCACGTCCATCAAGATCAGCACCATCCATACGATCAAGTGCATCTTCAGCATCACGTTTTTTCAAATAACTATAGACAAAAAAAAACATAATAATATTAAAATAAACATGAACAAACCGAATAAAAGCATAACCACGACTTGATCGAGAAAATTGATCACGTGGAATATAGATATCACCAATATTTCCAAATTTTTCAAAACATCGTCGCAAATCTTCGACACGTGTACGATATGTTAAATTATCAACTTTAAGAGAATACATAACATCAATATTTGGCGGCGTTGAACGATGATCACCATCAGGTCGAGGTCGATTACTCATGTTAGAAAAATAAGATTACCTTATACAATAAATGAAAACGAAAAAAAGAAAAAAAGATATTTGAAAGATTGAGTAAGTAGGAAGAAAAATAACAATGATAAATAACAGCCATTTCCATATTGAGTTAAATTTAAAAAATGTAGAGGTTCGTTTGAATGTGAGCGACATCTATTGAAAGAAATTTATTGCGATGAGAAGGTTTCGTTTCAGATAGTGCTTGCTTCTCGCGAAGGAAAATATCAAATTATCCAATGAATGATACTGTGCTTCAGAGAGATATGGAAGTCACAAGAGCAAAACATGGACTCGCTTTTGTTGAGATAGTACATTAATTTCAACTGAAACAATTTTTTTACAGATATTAGATGTACCTTGAAAATGGTACCGTTTTTCTTTTGTAAGATCTAAAAAAATTTAGCGGTAGAATACTTAACAAAATCTAATGACTTAAATTACTCTCTAAATAGTCTTTGTAGATATTGTGTCAGTTTAATTGAATATGTCATGTCTGAAAAATGAAGGTGATTATATAGATTTTTCAATAAAAACTAGATTTAAAAAAAAAACATTCCTTTTGTAAGAAAAGAAATGTATCTATTTGTATGTAAAAGAACATTCTATTTTTTTTAAATGTTTTTAGCTTTTAAGTTATACATTTAAATTTTGAAAGCGTATCCAATAGGTCGAGAATAGTATGAAGCGGATATAGAACAGAAAAAGCAAAAAATCTGGAAATTTCAGGTCAGGAAAACGAGTTTCTCTAAAATATTTTTAACATTCATTATTATTATAACTTTCATTGAAAATTCTCGTTGAACTTTCCATTGCAGAGATCTTATCTTAATTAGAAAAATTAGAATTTCTTGCTAACTATTTCTGTTATTATGTTTGGACATTGGTCGATTTTCAGAGCATTATATATTTCTAGAGTAACTCTACTCTTAGATCTTATTTCACAAGTATGCTTCAGTTTCTTATATCAATGCTGGTTGCGAGGAATATCCAAAAAAAAAAACAAATTTTCCAGAAGAAGTTTGCTCATGTACATGGAAAAAAGAGACCTGCAGCAAATGAATTTCACTTGCCTGACAATAAAATAACAATACTTTGGAAAACTCAAAGACTCAATGGAATATGCCAATGTTTTCAAAACTGCTTGTTATTGAAAAAGGTTTTAGCAATTACATCAAATTGATAATGTCGAACATCAAAGACTATATAATTACAAGTAATAAACACAAAAAAATTCATTGCTTTAGTTCGGTGAACACTCGACAATTATGTCAATAGTCATTTTTGTTTCTTTCAAACATTAATTACCGTTATAGATATGCATTCCGATTGCGGATACAATGGTGACGATGGACCAGTGATTTACTATCACCCTTGCATCTCTAATTTCAGTGTTGTATATAAGTGTGAAGTGAGGATGTTGAGTGTTCTTATCGGATGTTTTCTTGGTTTTGAGCTTGGAAACGGGTGTCGGTGTGGTGTATTGGAAATGTAGGTAGGCTGTATGTGTGTTATTTGGATCTGTGAGTGGCTTTGATTATACACAGAGTGTATGAGTGAACTCATACTTACACTTTGATTATCTGGTAGACGAAATCAATGTGAAAAAAAAACAATCAATTTAACCCTTTGAATATCAGTTATCACGGTTAGTTAGAAGACCTAAATACAATTTGTTTTGTGCACATCTAATTTTCTCAAATACTTTAAGAATACTGATTAGATGCGTTCGGACAGTTTCCTCGGAAACTCCATTAAATGCTAGCGTATGAGATATAGGAGATATAGAGATACAGGAGATATAGGATTTGATTTTTTCGAGCAACGATTGGCAAGTGGCGCCAATATATTTAATGAATAGATGTTTAAATTCAAACGCTATTGAATGATTAGCTGTACCAGTTAATCAATAGCTCCTGTATCTCCTATATCTTCTACATCTCTATGTCTCCTACAACTCTATATCTCATATGCTAGCATTTAATGGAGTTTCCGAGGAAACTCTCAGAACGCATCATATGAGAATACTCCTCAACTTTGACTGAGTTGAATATAAATGTAATAAAAAGACTCATCAAAATCTACACTATCTTATGTGTATGCATGGTGAATCTTACAAGATATATTTATAGGCGAAAAGAGAATATAGACTGATAGTCAACGGACAGAGCAGAAAAAGAGCACATTTTAAGCAAATCAATATCAAATGCACTACCTATGGCGCCCTCTAAAATAGATGGAATGGGCCGAACTTTTAAAGTAACCTAATCGATAGAGAAAAATACGCTGAATCGAACCGTGATTTTATTTTTCCAAAAACAAATAGCACACACCTGGAAATAGCCGAAAAAGCGTAGCTCATCAGCTATAGAACATTCTGATTGGTTGATTCACGATTGGTCTACAGAAACTTCGATTTTCTCGGAAATGGCTCTTAGGCCGAAAAATCTAATTACACTAGAAGGTCTAGCTCATTTTTAGGAACAAAATGACACCAAGAAAAACCTTCTAAAAATTGGCACAAATGGTGCACTACTAAGTGCATTAGTGTGTTCGAAATTTGCTATTGATTCGATGACTCATCCTGATTTGTCCACTGACTATGAGTGAAAACATCAATAACCTATTCAAACCATGAAAAAATAGTTTAAACCTCTACTTTACGTACTCAACATTAAATATATGTTAACTACAAAAATGATGTGTCTATCAAAAGAAGAAGTCTAATAAATCTTTTTTAGGGTAACTGATAAAATTTTAGTATGATGAGTACATTTGCGTTTGTTTGGCATATACAAAAGGTGATGAAGTATAACGATAACCATTCTCTAACTATTGAAAATCATTGTCTCTCATAGTATCACCATTGCATGATTACGTGATATTCTTATCAAGAAATAACTTATAAGTCAACACAAACCTGAGTACCTCATGGTTTAACTTGCAATATAACTTATCATTGAAAGGTGATCCCTATTAATAATATCAATCAAAAAGCAATTAAAGACAATTTTCTAACTGTCGCAATACACAAGAAATCATTTTACGATGTCATTTTTTCAATAGCCTTGTTTTATGAAGTAGTCGATAACAATGGCAACTTTATTTGGGTGACTATATTATTACAGTAAAACCTTTATCAGTGAAGATCTCTCTAAAGTAAACACCTTCTAATTATGAACGGTCTCGAGTCCCACTAATCGATTTTCACTGTAAATACCTCTCTCTAACGTGAACATGTTTTTCTTTTGACTTTTTTTCTCTGTTCTATCACCTGTTTCGTATGCACTACAAATAAGCACATTTTGTGTATGCTTCAACTGCTGTACACGCAAACTAAAGAATAACTTCACGACACCAGTTTACTTTGCAAGAAAAACAGAATAATAATTAATTATCATAATCAAGATGGTAATGATTGTATCACGACGTAAATTGGTTCAAAAATATAATATATCACTCAGGTGTATGTCAAATCTCTTAAAACATAAAACTGAATATTTAAATCATTTTAAAACAAATCAGAATGAAAATGCTAGACGAAAATTAAAAGGTATCACTGCACAAAAACTAGACGATCAAATGTACGAATGGCTTGTACAGCAAGGTACAAAAACAAAGATTTTGTTAAAAAGCAAAAAAGATAATCAACTATAGAAGATTCTTTTTAAATGCTATTAAATTTTATGTTGTATTTGAAAAATCATTCGAAATAGGTATCATAGTAGTATTGTAGCAGAAATTCAGGAATGCATAGTGATATTACGAATAACTGTCTGCACAAAATAAAATAGTATATAAATAGTTTTAGCCATTTAGTCGAGAGTTAAGCGAGCCAATGTGACGAGCGTTACTTGTGTTTTATAAGAATTTTTATGAATATATAATATAGTTGTCTACTTCGTTTATTTGTCTACCTCATGGCTATAAACTGCAACCATTTGATATTATCTCACGCTTCGCTTCGTTGCCTCAATCAATGATAGCAAAAACTAAATTATTCAAGGCACACAATGTATATTTTCATATTCGCAGTATATCAATTTATGAGTTATATGAAGAGTACTTTTATTTTCAATTGATCATATATGCCTATGACGCACTAAACGTTAAGTTTTTTTTTCTTCATTTAGTAAAAAGAAAATATATTCTCGTGTTTCTTTTTTCTGTCCAGATGTTGACCATTGAAATAAAATATCATCTGAAAATTTTACTATCACAAATAAACGAGAAAAAGTAAAAATGATACTATCGAAAGTTATGTTCAAGAACTGAGAAATAGCTATTCCTTGTCAATTTCACGACAGTTCTAGCAAATATTACAATCAAAATAGTATATTATCCATGGAATTTTTTGTTCACATACCCATAACAGTGAAGATAACTGTGTAAATATAAAATTTATTGAAAAAAGAAAACATCACTTTTTCAATTACAAATGATGAAAACTGTCACACAACTGGTGGCATGTTCTTAATTCCACTGAAGAATTATCATAACACTATTGATAGCATACTATTAGTTGAGAAATTGCTATTTTTTAGCTTTTGGATACTACTGACTATCTTCTATACAGATTTTTGACTAATGAAAAATTATTGTTATAAATTGTGGATTAGAAAATTTGTAACAATGAATACTCGAAAACGGCGATATTGGTGTGGATATGTATATATTATCTCTTTTGCTTCACCTTTATTTATTTTGTTAATTAATTTTCAAATTTTTGAATGGAAACCAAATATATATGATCAAAATGAAAATCGGCCGAAATATTGCGACCAATCCATTATACGCAAACATTATATGTATGATCAAAGGTATTTTTCACTGGTTTGAATTTTCTAAAAAAAAAAAACCCTTATAGAAGATTCCCTGAAAGCTTTGCATACTTGAACACAATAGAGGACCCAGAATATTCTATTGCGGGAAGGGAGGTTAGACGTTGCACTATAGGCATTGATTTTTGTTTTTAGTTTGAAGAAAAATGGTAGTTTTCATCTTATTTCAGAATAGAAATAAATCGAACAATCCGAAACTTTCAAAGTAAATTATTCTCGTGAACATTTGCATGTGGGCAAAGTTTGAAGACGAAGTTCGACAAATAATACTGTTTCTGAGAAGGATGGGGAGGAGAAGCTACACGGCACTGATTTAAAAACTATTTTAAAAAATGTGATATTTTCGCTTGAATAAGCTAATGGCCCAAACTTTGTTCAGGATATTTATAGCTTACTAGGGTCTACATGCTGTACATCATCTTGACTCACAAGCGATCAACCAATTGAGACTTCCTATTAAATTAAAAAAAAAACAATTCTTTTCTTTTAGCCCTGAACAATTATTTGCACGTGACCCAATTCGAACACCTTTTACATATGAAATATCGAATGAAAATTTTTGTTCATTTATCAATCCTCATGCTCTTATTTTTGTTGTTTCAAAGTCAACTAATTTTGGTTCACGTAGTGCTATTCGTCGTACATGGGGTAATTTAAAGCATGTAACTTCTATGAAAGAATTTGCTCATCTTCGTCTTAAACTTCTTTTTTTCCTTGATATTGATGAAACTCATTTATTAAGTGTTAAACTTGAACAATCAGTTTATAATGATCTTGTTCAAGCTCGTTTACCACAACATTATACATTATCAACATATCGTGATATGGCCATATTACATTGGACAGAAGAATATTGTTCACAAGCTTTAATGACAATAAAAACTGATGATGATATTTTTCTTAATATATTTTTATTAGCTAATCTCTTAAATAATATTACTAGTAATATGATGATAAATCGTTCACAAACTGAATGTAAATATATTCAAAATTTTGATTCATCAGCAATTATTTATGGTGTTAAATTTAAAGATGCACCAGTAATTCGTCATACGAGTGATCTCAAATTAGATCGAGCTCGTTATATTATAACTGATGATGAATATCCATGTACATATTATCCTGATTATATGAGTGGTTTTGGTTATATTATTAATCAAAATGCACGTTTAAAACTTTTATGTGCATTTTTTCGACTTGAAAAATTATTTCCTATGTCTGATGCTTATGTAACTGGTGTTTTACCTGAATATATGAATATTAAACGACAAAGTTTACATTTTAAAATAAATTTTGAAACAACGAACAATTGTGATTTATTTTTTCATAAAATAAAAGCATATGCATGTGCTTCTTCATTACATTATCGAAATGATGAATCATCTTCATTAATAGATATCGATATTTTTCAAACATTTAATATCTATTGGAAACGTGTATATTCTAATCGATGGATATATAAAAAACAAATTCGGTATTTATATTACAATTAAAATATTATTTTCTTGTCTAGTGACATGTATTTTTTCGCTACTTCTATGATTGTAGCTAATAATTATTCATTCGATTTATTGATCAATTTTTGTATTTCTATAATCATGCCCACTTTTGTTTAATAAATCTATTTCGGTTAGATTATTTTATATTCATTATTTTTCATTTATGTTTTTAATGAAAATTGATTTGTATTGAAAATAAATATAGAACTATTTTCAGGTGTCAGTTCATCTTAAGAATAAACCTGTTGATCACAATATGATGTTTTTAGCAAAAAATTTAAATTTCATATAGTGTTACAATCAATAAAAATGATTCACATGGACAAGAGATCATTTTGTAGAATTAAAAAAATATCCACAATTATGATGTTAGAGACATCAACACAGCATTCCACTCAGCGTCATCGACAACAAGCAAACGTATACTTAACAAAACTCGTCGGATTTTTGGAAACAGAAAGATACCAAGTGAACTGTGAATCATTAACTATTTTATGGATTTCTAGATGATCTCCTTTTTTTGTTGCTGTTTATGAATGAAACTAAAAATAGTATACTTTTTCATATAAAATAAAAGTTTGAAAAACATCCTATGACTGTGAAAATATCTGTCGGATGTTGATTAGTTCCGGTCGAGTAGCGGATAAAGTGGTATAAATCTGGTCGTGAAAATTCTTAACAGTGTAGAATACTACTCTGTACATTTCTATTCACCAATCGACGATATGCCTACATAACAAATAATTCTATGTGCATCTATATTTATTATTTTTCTCACAAATATTTATATGTCAACTTACAATTACTCTTAGTAATATACATTGTGAACTTGTTAATTCCTGAACAACTTGACTATGATTTCAATGATTGTCATGCATACGTACATATACAATTTGTAGGATTGATGAAAAACTTCGAAAGTGAAAAATATCGAGAAGAGATCTGCTCTTCATCAACACTCTCGTTGTTGTTTACTGAAATGGAAAAGACCTCATTATATTCTCAATGTTCTCTTGTCTAGTTCCTTCTAAATAGTAAACATACATAAAACTCTTAGATCATTTAGAATTCTCTTTTTTTTTTGTTTTTATTAATATTTTATGTCTTTTCAATATCATTTATTCTAGCTATAAACAGCCTTATCTTTGCACAAAACTTCAAATTGAAATACTATCATTTGATGTATTAGTATGTACCGTGTCACAGTGTCTAGAGTTCCAGTAAAATGGTAATGACTACGGAAGAAAGGCGTGGAACATATATCCTTTTAGAGTTTTTCATACCTCACGGAAAACTACTTTATGCACGGAGTCCGAACTCAAAACTTGTTCATCATTTTGAATCGGTTTTTCGTTAGAAAATATACTCTAAATGTTTGATAATCTCGGCGAAAATCCTATGACTATTGCGTTTAGATGTCATATGATTGATGAAATGTTTTTAATTTTGATAGACTGTTATAGAAGAAATTAAATTAAATATTTGCGATAATTATTTCTATATTAGAATGTAAATATATGATATTACTTTATTTGTATTTAAAATAAACGAACGCATAATCATAACCTACATTTACAAGTCTAATCTGATTAACTCTCGTCATACAAATAATATTCCTTCAGTAGTGGTCAAACGAACTGAAATTGACAATGACAATAAAAACAGATTTAGAGTATATTTTCTAACGAAAAACCGATTCAAAATGATTAACAAGTTTTGAGTTAGGACTCCGTTCATAAAGTGGT